AATTTATCTATCATTGATTTTCACGATTCAAAAAAGAAAAATTGACGTTAAAAACGTAATAACCGTTTTAAGTACAATCCGGATGAATCAGCAACGAAGTCATTATCATCGAAATCATAAATTGATCCACTAATCACTACTACTTCATTATACAGTTTCGCATAATCCGACGTTATCTTTTCCAAATTGGTAAAATGTCCTTAAATTAATCAAATCTTTCAAAAAAAAAAAAGAAAAAATGATATGCAACGATGTTTTTAGGATGAAATGAACTAAAATTGGTCCATAAATTAGAAAAATTTGAATTGTAAAAAAGAAAAAACAACAAATTCTATAAATGTTACAGCTGCATTAACGACAATGTGATTTTCATTACTATTTGCAGAATCCTAATCAAAAATAACCAGGTTTATCACTTCTAGACTATCTCTTTCACGTATGCTTTATCCATAATACTAAAGCTAGAAATTAATTTCAACAAAATATTGCATCGAATTATTAACCTTTTAGAAAATCACTATGAAGATTAACTTGCAAATCATTTGTACCTAAAACATGAAATTGATCAATACCGTATTATCAGAGGAACGAATTACATAATTATCACAAATGTCAACTATACATCAATTAACAACTGCTGCTTTTTGATATTTCAAATCATTCCAGAAATGATCTATGTGACAATGAACACTGATATTATCTAACCAATGAAAAATTTAAAAGATTTCTATTTTACATCTCCTTCAAAACACTAATCCATAACTATTTTGACAAAAAATAATGTATTTTTTTTCTGGATAAGACAACAGTTTTTTTTTTTGCAATTAAAGAGTAAAAGAAAAGATTGTGAACCTTTTACACTTAAGCTAGTTGTAATCAATTCTGCAGGATCGTTTTCCTGTCGTAATTGTGAAAGTGAGAAATTGGAATTGATACGTTCAATCAAAGCAATGGTAGAAGTTAAATCTGATCTGAAATAAAAAGAGATGTAAAAGAGAACAAAACTACTTTAATTGTACAATTGAATCCAAGCATCGGAAAAAATAAACAAAAATACAAAATGAGTGCTAATTTAAATGAAAAGTAAAAGGGAAAAATGACTGATAACATAAGAAAAATTAGAGAAATTCCTTTCAGTATAATTCAAATTATGCTGATTAAAGCCTGATAGTTTAAAAGTACGAAATTGAAAAGTATTCAAATTTTCAATTCTTTTGTAAAAAAAAAGAACTCGTGAAAAAAAAAGGACCGTTGGATTATAGCTGATTGCGAAAGTATAAAATTAAAAAATATTCAAATTTTCAATTCTTTTTTTTTAAAAAAAAAAAGAACTCGTGAAAAAAAAAAGGACCGTTGGATTATAGCTGATTGCGTATTATGAGAACAATTGGATAAATAGCATAATTCTTCGTTTCCAGAAATTAAAAGTGATAAATCATTTAAGCAAGTTCTTTCATTCTAAATGAACATCTTTATGCAAATTATTACTACAATAAGTTAGAGTTCAATCAAATTTTAAAGTTGTGGAAAATTTAATGGTTATGAGTTTTGAATGAAAAAAAAAATTATACTTCAATGTTATCAACAATCCTGCATTTCTTTAGTGGTTTTAACCTTTGCGGCTTATTTACTGATATACCATTTAAAACGCTATTCAATCTTCCTTCTGTACCATTATTTGGTGATGATAGATTTGAATTAACATTTAACAATGCTGAAAATTAAAATCATTTCATTTAACAAATAATATTAAGTAATATACTTTTTTCATGATATACCTTTCTTTCATCTGTATTCGTATCAGGTCCATTAAGCAATTTACTTAAACAAGTAATAAGCATAAAAAATTCTGATAAAAGATAAGCTTGATCGTATCAAACAAATAATTCGGTGACTGTAAATAATTTCAAATTAACCTATCATTAGATTGAACAATTCGACATTTTGAAATGGTTTCAAAACAAGGCCTTGGGCAATATTAGGACCATATGCATAAAAGATTGCATGCATTGGTTCCAATATAAAATCATAGCCATGATCATGCGTTTTATTATAATCAGCGGCAATATTTCTGCAAATATTTCAATGGATTCTTTGCAGATTTAATAAATTTTAATTTTGCATTAAATTAATTACCATATTTTTCGGGCAAGTGTTAATTAAACTTACATATTACTATCACAACATATTATTTTTTTTCTTTTTTAACGAGAAAACAGACTCTCTTTTTTTCAAGTTCCTCTTTTCTTCTTTCTTTCTTTCTTTCACAAATTTTTGCGAAATAATTTTGAATGTCAATTTGCTAAAAACAAATAAAATGGTTATCAAGGACGTACTCATAGAAAATTGTACCCAGTTGTGCATCCAAGATGATATCACCAATCCGATTTGACTTACTAAAATGATAACGTTTCGGTATCCGTCGCTTATCATACACTCGATAGTATTCCTTATTATAACATTTAAGCTTCTCCATTGTTTTCATTATTTTATCTTAACAAATAAACAAAATAAAAATACGACATATTTGTGTGTAAAAGAAATGAATCATGCATATCAAAATTACATTAATAATTCACGTTTTACATTTTGAAATTAAAACTTTGATAAACGCATGAAATTAAATTAATATGCGTGACAAAAGTAAGTTTTTAGTTGATTAAATTATATGTTCCAATAAATTACAAAATAAACGCCAAATTTCCATTCATTATAAAGTGTTTAATTACTGAATTAAGTGTCATTTATTTTTCAATCATATTTTTCCTCGTAATTTACAAACCTTGAAGTGTTAGAGAATTAGTATCATTTGGGAAATACATCTGTCCGATTACACCATCAGCAAACAAAATATTCTCAGAATTAATCATTTCATCAAAATAGTATCGATGATTAATTTTTTGAATGCCTAAATACATTATGAAACATCAAATTAGATACAAAAAACGTTTAAAATTTAAATAGCACAAGAGAATTTGTTATGAATTAGAGGAATTCAAATTCATTGTGCTTATAAAATTCAAAAATGATTTATCGATACTAATTTATAAGTGAGATACATCAGCAATATACGCTTGTCTATTGTATAACGTTCAATCATGCCGAATACAGTTATAGTGCGACAAATCCGGCTTCAGCGATTACAATCACTTCAATCATTTCATCTAATCAAGTTATAATGATACTGAATCCCAGTATCACTGATAATTTTTAAATCAGCATAAGAATAAATGCGCAAATGATGAAAAGAAGACATACCGTGATCAGAAAGTATGATAACATTGACGCAATTTAATAATTCCATACTATGTAATGTTTTGAAAAGATAATCCAATATATGCTCAATATTTTCCAACTCTTTAGAAATCTTCAAATGAAATAATTAATCATTAACAGTTCATTAATGTGAAAAGATTATAATGTCAAACGCCCTTGCAATAAACATTAAATAAAGTCAATTAATAAATTAAGCTAACTGAAGTAATTCAACTAGAAACTGCAATTTTGTTAAAAATTATTTAAAATAACCATGACAAGAATTGCAGACAAACTTCCTCATTATCTTTGAAATGTGACACGAAATCAGGTTGATCAAAATATGCCATTATCAATGATGGCCGTAAATTTGTAGGCATTCCAAGCCACGCCACTATCTGAAATAGAACTAAAATTCTCGAATTTCTTTTTCAAGTCAATTTATCACTATTTCGAATACTGTAACATCTCAGTTCTGTCAATTTTTGAATTTTTGATGACAAACATTAGACGGCATTTCAAATATTCATTGAAGGAGTTTTGTTTTATTTGATAGCATAAACCATAAAACTTTCAAGTTCGTATTTTTGCTTGATATGATAACATTACTACAACAATATCTATTGGTTCATTTTTTGTTTTCTTAAATTCTCATACAGTTATTTTGTTATCAGTACGAAATAAATTTAAACAATATATTTCAGTTTTTTACGCAATCTCAAATTGAAAATTCATAAATTTCACTATTCCGCAATTATAGCATTGCAAATTTTACTCCCAATTTATCTAATGAATAACGATGTATTTACTAGCTAATCGACCAAATTCCACCTAGAAAATGAATCCAGTACCATAAACTATCCCAGCTTATCTAGCTAGAGTGTCTGAATCCTTCAATTTCCTTGGTATTCCCCAGTTAACTAACATATTCAAAATTTTCCAATTTTCCTGATATTTGCTAGATGATCAGTTTAGTTTCGCTGGATAAATTTAACAAGTAAAAAATAACAAACTTGATCCATCCTATCGCGATATGGCATTGATCGATTATATTTCAAATTATATGTTGATTGCATACCTGCAAATATATTCTAAAAATCACCTTTTCTCACCTTTCCCTCATTCTGTCATTCTTTTGCTTATTTCCAAAATAGTTTGTTGATAAATTGATAATTTCCGAGAAATTTTATCGAATAGATTTGAAAAAAAAAAGGTTCAACAGAATTGTACCATTGATCATTGAATCACAAGCGGGCCAAAATAAGCAAGCTGTTGTAACGTTTTGTCGTTCAAGTACATTCCAAATCTGGAATTAATTAACTTCACATTAAATGAGCAATTAAATTAATGGAATAAATTAACTGTGCAAGTATGTAAAAAAAAAATCACATAATAAAAATTGGCAAAATTTCGAGTTGAACTATTGTTATTAGTATTAAACTAACAAAAAACCATTAAAAGAATATATTATAAATGGTTTATACTGCTAACCGGTTCACCATTGAAATATTGGGGATCATTAGTCCGTCGTATATTAATAAATTCGGTTTTTAATCGATTATCATAAATGACATTATCAACAATACCATGACTTTCCGGATATAAACCGGTTGCAATTGAGTAATGATTTGGAAATGTTTTTGTTGGATATGTTCCATACATATACTGAAATTAATTCAGTTCTTTTTCATTCGATTCCATTAAAAATCTCCCTTCATTTAATCTATTGATAACAAACCGTTTAAATGGATAGAGTGAAAAAGAAAAAGATCTTATTTTAATAATATTTAAGTTAAGAAGAAACTTGCTTATAAAATTTAAATATGTCTATAAAATTTTAAACTTACAAAACATACATTGAAATATTCGTTGTTAATCAATACTTAAAAAAGCTTTTAATCTATACTTAATCTGTACTTTAATAGCATATTTTAGGATATAAAATTAGCCATTTTCAATACACTGCTTTCTAATAATAATTTTTCTTATAAGTAAATCATTCATTAATTGATGGTAGTTTTTTTTATCGAAAATTATGAATAAATCTAACCTCAGCAGTTGTGCCACATTTTGCCATACGTTCTAGCGTCTTGACAACATTATTATCAATATAGGATCGCTTGAAACCATCAAAACTAATCACCAACAATGGCTTTTGGATGAAACTTCAAAAAAAAAGAAAAAATTAACTTTACTGACGAAACGAAATATAATATAGGCTAAGTAATAGTAATAATCAAACAGGTTTATGAGTTTACTAAACAAGTAGAATACTGTCTAGGCTAAGTAGGCTAAGTAATGACAAAACGTGTTCATTGCAATTTTATCACTGGCTCTTACCAAAATTCTTCTTGATTTCAAGTTCCACCCAGAAGTCCTTGCTTTCATAAGCAACCTCCCAATTAGTAATATCACATTTCATGTATCTAATTTTGTGAGTCTAGAAATGATTCAAAAAATAGAAAATGAGCCTAATGGTTCGTTTATTAAAAAAAAAAAAAGCCCGTTGATACATTTTGCTAATACAATTACAACTAGCAAATGATGTAGCAAAAATTGAAAATAAAAGAGTTTGATTTGTATGGGTTTGTTCTTAGGCACAGACGAATATTCTGAGAAGGTATTCTTCGTTCGGTTCAGGAGGAAGTTATTTATTCGCAGAAGATAGTAAATTGTAATAACGTAGAGGATAGTAATAAAATCATTTATCGAAGAGGGTAGAGGATACAATCAATGTACGGTGCAGTCCTTGGTTGAGTGTTTGAAAAGGAGAATGAAAATGAATGATCTCATCCAGTTATAGCCTTGAGTATATATACAATTTTAATTAACACAATGAGCATAATTGGGGGTATGGTCTATAACAAACATTACATCAGATTTTCCTTTGGATAAAGAAAAACTGTCAAAATCCGATTACAACAAAAGGCTCTGATTGCAACATCAAGCATTGCAATTAAGATCGGTTCATGGACAAAGAAATTTAGATTATGAGTGTGGTTTGTTTCATAAAAGAAGGGGAAAGGATGTGAACAAAGAAAAACGTATGAGATAATGAATTTGAGGAATGTAAAATTGGTTGAATGATTCATCATGACATTGTTACAATTTGTGTGATTGATTTGTACATTACTTTATTTAATCATTTTATTTCATTTGGAGCTTCGTGATATTCGCGACAAATGATGTACTGTTTAATAGAACAATAAGTTCATACAAATTTGGCTTTTCTTTTAAAAGCCTTTTAATATGTTTGTAGAAGAAAGTATTTGAAAAGGAATTTAAAAAAAAAAGAAATATTCTACTGTATCATTACTTTATTGCTCCAAAATTATATGCACATTGAATTTCGATTTTCAATTCGAAAATTAAAATCGAAATTTCATGTAAATAGAAAAATTCAAAAAAAAAAAGAAACGTACGTACTCAGCTCTATGACATTTTATTGAGCAATCTTCATTTAGCCATAATTGTTCACTTTTCTAAAATTTATTCTTGCATGAAAATTTGTGCTCAAAATGTTATTTACTAATTTCGATAAATAATGATTTATTACATTAAATGATTATCTTTCCTTTTTTTTTGAAATCACATTAAAAGCATTGCATTATTTCGTTTTAAAAGGATTTATTAAATAATATTAAATAACAGATTAAAAGAAAAAAATATCGAATTTCGACATGTAACTTCTTAAACTCAATTTTATTTGAAATAAAGCTTATATTGATTGTTAGGACAGATTTTTCTTGGGCCAATTATGGAGGCTAATAATAAATATTATATTAATAACCACCAGTGGAAATGGAGAAATACTTTATTATATTAAATGCAACAATAAATTTCAAAAACATCATTGACAACTTCAATGTATTTATATGCATTTACAATATTATAAAAATAATTCATCTATTTTGATTAACTTACCTTACAATCATGGCTAAAATTTTTTTTTAAGAAAAAAGAAACATGCCTTAAAATTGTTCCATTGTGGAATTAAAATAATCATTAGGCTAAAACCAATTATCACTATTAATAAAATAATACCAAATACTGGAAGCGATGGCTGTTTATCTTTAAAATTTCTTCGAAATTGTACATCCATATCTACAATGTCATTTTAATATTATCAAAGTTAAATATTTTCAAAATTACAAATTCGAACGATTGATTGATTGATTTGTAATTATTCGGAGAGAGAAAATTATTTTTTGTTTGGTTGTTTTCGTTGTGGAAATAATAAACTGAAAGAGTAAAAGTTAAATGAAATAAATATGATTTTGTCAAAATGCCATATTGTGAGATTAAATTTGAATGTAATAATTCATCTAAACGATAAATGCATAGGAAAAAAAGAAAGAAAAGCAAGAAAGCAACAAGTAAATATTAGTGAAAAAAATTCAAAAATTAATGGGGGAGAGATAGAAAAGAGTAAAAAATAAAATAAACCAAAGTCAAAAAACGGAAAGAAAAAAAAAGTCACGCAATCATTTAATAATAATTTTATGTTTTATGTTGAAAAAAATAAAAATTAAATTTATAAATTGAACAATAATTACGATACATCCACTATTTTTCAACAATAACAACAAAAAAAAAGATCCTTCATGATTTTCATGAAGAGCTATCGCAGTTTTTGATTTAATATTTTATTTTCAAGTTTCATTAAACAATAGATAAAGTAAATGTGATGTTGAAGATTTTATTAATTACTAATAAACCGAAAGAGAGAGAAAAAGAGAAGGGAAAAGCAAAAAAAGGAAAAAAGAGTCAATTTTGCATTTTAATGTTTAGTTTCTTCTTTCACTTCCTCATCTGTTTTAATTTATTAATAATCATCCTTAATTGAACAAATAACAAGTTTCCTTTTCTCTACAGCTATTGGAATTACTGTTTTTCGTTTTACTATCACTTATTAAAATTTTGATTAATTATTTATTCCTTTGGCATTTTCTCAAACATCTATTATAATAGCAATTTTAGAATAACTCCTCACATTTCTTAACAACATGATTATATTTTATATGGTAAAATACCCCAAAATTTCTAATTAACTCTCACACTCTTCCCTTAATCATCACTAATCCATCACATGATCATTAATCGAAGCATCAAACAACAATTCATTGATCATTATATCTAAGTACTAATCATTAACTCATTGATCTATCACATGATCATTGATCACCGTATCGAAGCACTTATTGATCTACTTCATGATTATTGCACTCAAGTATGAATCATTAAATCATTAATCGATCTTATGATCGTTGTATCAAAGCACTGATCAATAACTCATTAATTCATCGTATAATCATTGTTCCTAAGCATCAATCAATAATTCATTAATTTATCAGATATTTCCAGTGATAATTAATCTTGAAAAACCTTTGGTTTTGTTCGATCTCGAAAAATCTCTTTCCAATTCATTCATTGTATTTTCATCGACATCCATTATTAATATACAATGTTGTCGCATAGCGAATTGTAATTGTGATAAGAATTGCGATGCGACGTGATATAACAAAGAATAATAATTGAGTTATTGTCAACCTTTTAGATAATCCCTGGATGATTCTTTTTCAGTACTTTTTGATAATCTTCTTTTCGATTCCCTGCTTCAATTCGCTTCTCTCCTCAATTTCCATTAGGCAACTGATCATACAGTGACATATTTATCAACGAACGATACAATTGCTAACATATATGATCATAGCATAAGCAAAAATTCCTTTCTAAATTACAATTTCAACATTTTCACGCGAAAATTTCTCTCTTACTAATTAATCAAACCTTTTTCAAATAAAATGAAATAATAAATTATAATTTCGAAGAGAGAGAAATTGAAGTATCTCCTCTTTCCATCATATCATTTTTGTTTTCTCTTAGCATCTTTGTGGTGCCTTCTTTTTCCGCTTCCTTTTTTTTTTACCTATTTAACCAATTAAACATCTTCCGTCCTTCCATGTATGTTAGAGAAAGCAATAATAGACAGAAAATACAAGTAATCAACAATCTTGAACAAGTTTTCCAATTTTAGACATGGAAAAAATTTTAAAAGAAAAGGAAAAAAAGCATTCATTTTACTTTATCCTGGAAATAAAAAGGAAAAAAAAGTAAAAGTATTTCTAATTTTTAATTGGTTGAGAAAAGAAATGAAAAGAATTAATGCAAATAATTATATCAATATATTTCAGTTTTTTTTCAAATTTCGATTTTTTTTTGCACTTTTACTAATAACACTAAATTTTTTTCGTATTGTTTTCGATTATTATGAATTTCATTTCAATCATTCTGGATCAAATAACCTTTGATACGCGTAATATTTACTATCCTGGAATCTGATTCATAGCATAGATTGATCGATTTATAGCATTTTTAATCGAAATATCAATCAAATTTTTCAATGAAAAATGATGGAGAGTGCTGGAAAAATTGGAGTACACTGAAAGGATGAAAAAAAAAGGATAGAGAATAGTCATTCCGGTTTGTTTCCAATTTAGAAACCCGGTTTGATAAAATGCATCAAAAAGTTGAACATCTGTGACCGTTTAATGCAAATGATCATATATGGTAACTGGATGAAGTTCCCATTTGTCCCTTGGCAATTTTATTTCACTTTTTTCTTTCTATGATAAATAAAACTAAATTATAAGAGTTACTATATCGAACAAAAAAATAAGTTGTTAGCGATAAATTGTATAACTGAGAAGTAATTCTATTAATTAATTACATTAATAGCGTATTAACTGTATTAATACACGCTATTAGTAAATCACAGAAACGTTTTCTCATAACGTTTTCTAATAACTGTACTTCTGCTTACAATAATCTTTTTTTTTTACTTGAAAATAATTCTAGCAAAAAAAAAGCGTTTATTTCAAATGATAGCTTTATCAACAAGCGACAAACATTAAAAAAAAAGGTTCGTTTATTAAAAAGAAAAAAAAGCCCGTTGATACATTTTGCTAATACAATTACAACTAGCAAATGATGTAGCAAAAATTGAAAATAAAAGAGTTTGATAAAAGTAGATAAAAGAGTTGAGTTTGACGGTTAGCATTATCATAAAAAAGTGAA